ACCTAAAGATCGACCTTGAGGAAGGCACCTCCCCACCCTTGGGTACCATGTACTCTCTCTCTCCTTCGGAACTCGAGGCCCTCCGGGCGTTCTTAGATGAACACCTGGCCTCCGGTTTCATTCGCCCCGCTACTTCCGCTCACGCGGCACCGGTCCTCTTCGTCCGCAAGAAGGACGGATCCCTCCGTCTCTGCATCGACTTCCGAGGGCTGAACAAGATCACCAAAAAGGATCGCTACCCACTTCCCCGCATCTCCGACCTCCTTGACGCACCTAGCCGTGCCACGGTCTATACCAGACTTGACCTCCGGCATGCTTACCACCTGGTTCGCATTGCAGCAGGCGACGAATGGAAGACTTCCTTCCGCACGCACTATGGTTCCTATGAGTGGCTTGTCATGCCATTCGGTCTCACGAATGCACCTGCGGCTTTCCAGCGATTCGTCAACACGATCTTTGCCGACCTCCTGGACGTTTCTGTGGTAGTCTACCTAGACGACATCCTTACCTACTCGAAAGACATGGCTTCGCATCAGGAGCATGTCCGAGAAGTTCTTAGGAGACTCCGCAAACACGGCCTATATGCCAATCCGAAGAAATGCGAGTTCCATACGGACACTACGGAATATCTCGGTTACTGCCTCTCTCCTTCCGGACTCACCATGTCCATCGAGAAAGTCAAAGCCGTCCAAGATTGGCCCGAGCCCCGTAAAGTCAAGGATGTCCAATCCTTCCTTGGCTTCGCTAACTTCTATCGGCGTTTCATTCACCAATACTCCGACATTGTGGTCCCCTTGACGCGCCTCACGCGTAAAGGAGCCCCCTGGCTATTCTCCGACGATTGTCGTGCTGCTTTCAACACCTTGAAAGAAGCCTTCACCTCCGCTCCTATCCTCACACATTGGCTACCTGACGCCCCCCTCATCGTAGAAACCGACGCCTCCGATTACACGATCTCCGGAATCCTTTCCATTCGCTGTGATGACGGAGAGATTCGCCCCGTCGCTTTCCACTCAAGAACACTCTCGGCGCCGGAGCTCAATTACGATACCCATGACAAGGAACTGCTTGCCATTCATGATGCGTTCCGATCATGGCGTCATTACCTCGAAGGTTCAGGAACCCCAATCGACGTTGTCACCGACCACAAGAACCTCGAGTATTTCTCCACCACCAAACTCTTGACCCGGCGGCAAGCCCGCTGGTCAGAGTTCCTCTCCCAATTCCACATGACAGTCCGATTCCGTCCTGGAAGACTCGGAGTTAAACCAGATGCGCTGACAAGACGCTGGGACGTCTATCCCAAAGAAGGGGATATGGACTACGCTCGCGTCAATCTGCAGAACTTCCGACCGGTCTTCACTTCGGAGCAGCTCACTGCGTCCTTACGAGCCACGTTCCTAGCTGCCACAGTAATCCGAGCAGCCGTACTCGTTGACACAGAGGCTCTTCATCGAGACATCCTAACCTCCCTCTCCTCCGACACCTCAATCTCTTCTCATCTCGCTTCCCCCAACCTCCCCAACTCCCGCTGGTCCGTTGATGCCGAAGGCCTCTTAAGGCTGGACAATCGCATTTACGTGCCGGATTCTAACGATCTCCATCTTCGCGTTTTGCGAGACAAACACGACCACCAACTTTCCGGACACTTCGGGCAAAACCGGACTCTGGATCTAGTGCGTCGTGAGTATACCTGGCCGGGCATCCGTAACTTCGTCAAGAGTTACGTATCCTCCTGCACTTCTTGTGCCCGCGCCAAGGTCCCCCGTCATAAGCCTTACGGCTTACTCAAACAACTCCCCATCCCCGAACGTCCTTGGAACTCCATCTCCATGGATTTTATCGAACAGCTACCCTCCTCTTCCGGATTCACTTCCATCTTGGTCGTCGTGGACCGCCTGTCCAAACAGTGCATTTTTATCCCTACCCACGATACCATCACCTCTCCGGAACTGGCCAAGCTTTTCCTCCTCCACGTGTTCTCCAAGCACGGGGTTCCATCCCACGTCACCTCCGACAGGGGTCCGGAGTTCGTCTCTCATTTCTTCCGTTCACTTGGTAAGGCCCTCGACATCCGCCTCCACTTCACCTCCGGTTATCACCCGGAAGGAGACGGTCAGACCGAACGGATGAACCAGACGCTCGAGCAGTACCTGCGTATTTACAGTAACTACCAGCAGGACAATTGGTCCGAACTCTTGCCTCTCGCAGAGTTCGCATACAACAACGCTCCGAATGCCACCACGGGCGTCTCCCCGTTCTTTGCCAACAAAGGCTACCATCCGAACATCACCGTTCACCCAGAGCGAGACCTGACATCGGTACGCACCCAAGAGTACTCCGTCGATCTCGACTCCCTCCACCACTTCCTTCGCGAGGAAATGCATCTCGCTCAGATCCGTTATCAGGGCCCGGCAGACTCTCGTCGGAGCCCTGCCCCAGCTTTCGAAGTAGGAACCTCGGTCTACGTAAAGGCCAAGTACTTCCGTTCCACTCGACCTTCCAAAAAGCTCTCCGAGAAAAACCTCGGCCCATTCGAGATCATCGCCCGCGTTGGAACCCACTCCCTCACTCTCTGCCTGCTGGAAAACATGCGAGCCATTCACCCAGTATTCCATGTCTCGCAGATCGAACCATCCGTCCCGAACACCATTCCGAACCGCCACCAGCCACCTCCGCCTCCCGTAGAAATCGAAGGCGAGATGGAGTTCGAGATCGAGGAAATACTCGACTCCAAGATCGACTGACGTAGACGCAACAAGCTGCTCTACTTGGTCAAGTGGCTAGGCTATGAAGGGACCGACGAGGAGACACAATGGCTCCTTGCCGGTGAACTCGATCACGCCTCCGACCTCGTCGAAGCGTTCCACTCTCGGTATCCAGCGAAGCCTGGACCCGAAGCTCCTTAGGAACCCCGACTCCTCTCCCATTCCTCCTTTCCCCTCCTCTCCTCACTTCCGTTTTCACTTTTATTTCCTCATTTTCGCTTTTCTTCCTGTAAGTGCAGCTCCCCTCGTCTTACTAATTCTGGGCCTTCAAGGGTTCAGGCCTAAGAAGGGGATACTGTCATATCCATTCCCGGCCATCGACTTCCGGTCCCTCCGATTCCTCCGTTCCAACTCCGCTCCTCCCTCACTAACCTCGGAGCCCCCGTTATTCCGCAATCCTCTCGGTACCCCTCGATGGTCACCACCCCCCATTCCAATTTATTACCTACGCCTCCCTAAGTACGGAGCCCCGAAGACTTCCAGACAGCTCCGACGTCCGCTAGTGCACCCCCGCCTCCACTGAGCAATACACTCGCCTGCCCTGCAGAGTCCACCTTCGGGCTTATCCCTCCTTTCCGTTTCTGGGTTATCGCCTGCCTTTCCGCTAACCCCGTGAACCGACTCGTCGGTAATATTCAGTCGGCTAATGGTTAAACCCCGTTAGCTCCACTCCGTTCGGCTCTGCCAATTGCGGAACCGTCTCCGCTGTAACCATATATATATCCCACTTGTACATAGGTTAAGCCCCAGTAGAAAAATCAACTAGAGTTCCCCCCTAGGTTCTAATTGCCAGTCAGTAAGTTAGGGCACGGACGTGTCACTAGGCACAGCGCTCCTGGCAGAAGTCGCTGAGGCCGAAGCCCTCCGTTACGGAGACATTCTTTCATCTCAAGTCTGGTCTCTGACAGAAGAAGGTTAACTTCTCACTTTCCCACAGTGGCCCCAATATGGCAAAAACTTCTGGGGATACCCGGAAGTCACATGAAGAATAGGAACCGGGCCTGGAGCATGCAGCGTGTGGAGTGTGTGGGGCGTAAGTGCACATGCAGGTCCAGGCTAGTCAGGGTGTATGCCCTGACAGACTCCCCCGATGAGAAGGGACATCCCCACCAAGTAACAAGTTGTTTGATAAGTTTAGTGATGCCAGAGGGGGAGAAACAAGATTATACAGTGTCTCTGACTCCTGATGACTGTCCAAGAAGGACCAGGAGTGAGTACTTATTTTGTGAGATTTTGTTGATTGTTTTCTAGCACCCGGACCATGGCACAGTATTGGCACTGTCACCACCAACCTTCCTGTAGGGAATGGATGTGTGGTGATGCATGCTGTGCACGCTTTCTTTATTCATTGTTTATTACTCTTTATTTCTTGATGTAAACAATGTATATAAATTGTGGGGAAGGGTGAAACAGGTTTTCACTCTTCTCCTCCCCTGTCAAAATAAAGCTCTATACTGCCTAATTTCTGACAGCTTGAGGATAGCAGGAGTCACAACTAAGGTCAGAACCTCAACCGACCCTACACTTCCTTTCCCCCTTTCTGACCTGACTCAGACACTACCTGTTATAAAAATGGGGCCTAATTGGCCCATTTTTATAGTGTTCAGGTGCAGGAGAGGGCCATGACATTGAAAGAGTGTGACAGTTAATGTAACAGAAGTTATAACAGTGGTGTTTACAATAACATGGACAGGAGTGTTTTTGGGTAGTAATTGATGGTTAGGTTCTTAATATATACATGTCATGTGATATTGTACTGCATAGAGCCCATAAGAGGCTAAAAATGGGAAAATCCCATTTCCATAACACTGTCAGGGCACATACCCTGACTAGCCCAGACCTGGACCCGCGTCCGGACCCACTATGCTTCCTGTGCACATTCCTGCACCACATGCTCACTCGTGGACGAGAACTGAGGGAAAGAAAAAGGTTACAGTACGCTCAGCTCACATGTATATGTGGCCGGAGCAAAGTGTTGGTCAAATAGTCAAGCAGAAGTAAAGAAAAGGTGTCGGCGACGGTCACTCCATCCCGCACTTAAAAGAATCACAACCGTGATCAGCCACGGTGACTTCCAAGCTGCCATGAGTACCCTAACTAGAATAGCTATGGCATATAACACATACTGTCCGGCTCTATTTACGGGTAGATACTTCTTCGACACCCTAGGTAATAATGACGTGAGATGGAAATATGGTAACATCACCAACGACACGTACTATGATGGAGAACCATCTTTTGGGGCCTAGTCAGATAGTGAGCTACAATGTGAACACTAATTGGTATTTGGAACTTACTTGAGTCCTTAGCGGCAAGCGGACCCTTGAGCAGCTCCAAACGTTTGGTGGATGCATCCAGAGTAGGTTCGGGCGCTCTGACCCCATGATCCGTCGGGAGAGCCATCGAGAAAGACGCCCCAAATGCAGCCAAAAAGAATAGGAGGATGGGAAGTTTGGTCAGCAATGTGAACATCCTGTTAAGTTTCTTCCTGGGGGTGTTCGGTAAGGATTGCTACTAGGTGGCTCTCAAGGATGGTCTTAAATAGGAACGGGAAGGGCACAACCTGCCCAAAGGGCATTGATCTGCCTAAGCAGAAGATATTGATAAAAAACGGTGATATGTCCACTACATTGATGGGACTTGTTATATGAGTGCTATATTGTATGAGATATTGCTGCCATTCACCCTGGGCCACATTCATTGTAATATTATCCCTCATGCCTCATTGTAATTCAGATAGGAGTTGTGTAAGAGATAGGGCTCCTAGTGGATTGGATTGGTCCAGATCTGGATCAGAATCCGCAGATTTTTAGAGGTTTGAAACAAAAACTGTATCCGGTGGTTAGAAATCCGCGGATATGTGGATCAACCGCGGATTATAGATAATACGTTCCAAAATTATATTTTGTTAGAAAGGCCCTGATAAGAACTTTTTAACAATACCAAATATGTCCATATTGGTGGAGAACTGACAGAGATATAGGGAAAATGGCACTGTCATGACCGACAAATCCCGGGGCTCCGTCAGCGGTGAATCAATGCCAATAGGCAAATCTGCTGACCTGAAACCCATCCTAACCAGCCCCCAACCTGATGTCTGGCCCCCTGTCCTATCAAGTGAGACTTGGTGAACAATCCGACCCTGGACCTTGCTGGCATTCCGACCTCACCTCCAGTTCCCGAGCCCTTGGCGCTCCCAGCATCCAGTTTCTCTAGTTCCTCTTGCCTCGTCTCCATCTGAACCACACCCATCACTCTGCTATGTGGTCGCAGCCATGCACTGCATCCAGACCTCCACCCACATCTGTACCTCCGCCCACCTCTGATGCTTCTGCGTCACGAAAACCGGTATGGCTCTAGAGCACTCAGGAGTGCTCTGGAGATTGGTTGCATACTCCCAAGCTCTCAAAAGCTCCCACAGCTCCTGAGTGATCCCAAGTAATTCCGGACGCGATTTTTCACATCATGTGACATCCAACCTTACCTATCTCATCTTTGACTGCTAATGTCCAGAGGCATTAAGTGCGTCGCTGGTGTATTGTGGTCTTCAAACACTTTGAGACTTGGCTGTCAATCACTAGAGGCATTTGTAGTGTTTAATGCTAGTTCTTCACCTCATTTTTGACTGCTGGTGTCCAGGGGCGTTAATTTCGCCACTGGTGTATCATTGAAGACTTTCATGGCTCCCTTTCCCAAGTTGAAAGTCGGCTGTCAAGCACCAGCCAAGAGGCATTTGGAACATCGCTAGTTCTTACAATGTGGACTGCAAACCCACTGTCGGCTACAATGGACAAATAGACAAATAGATTCGGCCAACTCCGCTACAATGGGCTCGGATACAAAAGTATAATCACGTGTCAGGAAATTTTTCAGCACTTTACCCCATCCTGCCGTTCCCAACCTCAAATGTTTTCATAACACCACCACCATTAGTCTCTATGCCACATGGCTGCGTCTGGGAAAACTATAGCACACTTGGTGCACTGCACTTCCTCTGCCATGGCTGGCTTTTGCAACCACATCATCACTCTGCACACAGGTGTTGTCTCTTGAACATAGAACTCAAAACTCGGATTTCACAGCAGGGATAGATCCCTCCACCTCTATTGAGCTCACCTTATGTGTTGACTGGATCTCATAGCCATGTTTGTACATGGCAGTGCAGCTTTCCTGTGTGTTCCATCTGAGTGGATGATTCATCAATACAGGGTAAGATTGACCCGATGACACTCCACGCTGTAAAAGTCCCCTCATGTACTGTTGTAATGTAGTGGGATATGCTGCTCTGTCATGTCGCGACCGCGGGGTAACAAATTTGATATCAACAACAACAGGGTAAGATTGTCTAGTTGGTATGGTTGGGGTGACAGTGTCCTCTGGGTTGTGGCGTCAGATTTTAGTCATGTCTGGGTTGTATGTGAAAGCCTGGCACTTAAGTTACTCTGTGCTCTCCACATTGTTCTCCTGGTCTGTTTGTCACGTTGGCTCCTTGAATCATCAAGTGCTCAAATTCTTGTGAGATCCCAGTCTCATGGGTTGTGCTTAGCTATAACTCAGTACTGTTACCATTCTGCAAGGAGTGGTCCAACGTCTCATTGCTCGGCTTTGTGAGTTTTTCCAGTAATTCAATATTTATCATCTGACAGGAAGTTCATTGTAGGTACCAACGCGGAGCTGCCAGAAGTGTGTGAGGTGGAGGAAGGTGGTTCATTGGATACTTAGATATGACAATTAGTTACATTTCCTGTATGTAGTTAAAGAATTTACAATTTCTTCTTTCTGCAACGTGAATATTTAATGCATAAACTGAGTGGGTGAGATCCAGTATAATATGTACTCCAGAGCACTCCGGAGCACTCCAGAGCACTTCGGGAGCAAACCAATGCTCGGGAGCACTCCAGAGGGGGGTACCTTTCTCCTGGGCTCTAATAGCTCTAATTGCTCAGGAGCACTCAAGAGCTGATAGGAGCGTCTGCCGGTTTTCGTGACGTGGTTGCCCTCCACACCCTGTGGTCAGGTCAACACTCCCACCTCTGCTGGTCATCATGCTGTCCTTGACAGCACTGACAGATCAACCTCTGTTTTGCGGACTTGTGTTGGTGCTGCACTGACCCCGCTTCTGATTTGCAGACTTGTATCAGCGCTGTGTGCTGACCTCCACTCTTCCTCTGACCATTTTGTCACTTGGCAATTTACCATTCATCCCTTGCTGAGTGCCTTTTATTCATTTGCTTAACTTGCCAATATCAGGATTTGATCTACTCTCTATTGGCACTAGGTTATTGATCTCATTCAGTTATTGTTCTTCCCATCAATAACCCTTGCCACTTATTGTTTACTGATCCATTCCTCACTTCCAGTTCCTGGGTTCTTGTCCTTTATTTAGTTTGACAATCCCTGCTTATTGCTGCACTGGACTGTGCTGGACTGACTGGCCCTTCTATATTTCCTCTTGCCTATTTATATCTTGTAAATACTTTTGGGGACCTCAGTCTGAAATCAACTAGAGTACCTGTAAGGTTGTTAAGGTTGTTGAGTTCATGAGTGATCTTGTGATAGTCAGTTGTTGCCTCACACTCCCAGTCCATTAAAGTATGCTATATGAAGCTGTATTTATCAATGGGGGGTAAAAGGCTGGGAAGCCTTTACCCCCTCACATGCAGGTTAAATACTGTCAGGGACTCGTCCGGGGTTGGGAGAGCCCAGGTGTAGCGTCTGGGGCTGAGAGCCTGGCAGGGGGCAGATTGGGCGTGCATACTGACAGGCCTGATGCGGGACAGTGGTCCCTGGCCACTTAGACTGAAGTGGAAAGTTGAGAAGAAGGCTACTTCTTCGGTTCCCACTTCAGGTTCGTTTATATACATGTGGCTTAGGTCACATGACAGGTGCCACGTCACCCTCGCACACAGCCGTAGCCACCTGGGTGTCTCCGTGGGAGATCCCGAAGCCATCCAGTGCATGCACGCATGCTGGGCACAGCGGGAAGTTGCCCGAGGTGCCCGGGCCGGGTACATGGTGGGTGCGTAGCAGATGGGTCAATGGTACATTGATATAAAGAAGGTCGTCTGTGTAGAATAAAGAGAGAATAAAGAACAAGTAAGATAAAAGGGAAGTGAGGAAGGGTGGACAGCGGGGTACCGGGTCAGGTTGGGCCGGGTGGAGCCGGGTCAGGCGGGTGTGCCCTGACAAATACATCATTGTATGTACATGTGATATTTGCAGCTTGGGACTGCATGGTAGAATGAAGGGTTCAGGAATAGAAGTGTCACATCAGGTACAAACCTGACGCGATAAATAAAGAATGAATAGGGTAGGCCACAAGTATGCAGCCTATCTCCCTTACACTCTCCTCCCTTGCGATATTAATATCGCACAGGCAGGTATAACAAGAAAGTTGTCAAGAAATTAATATAAGGTGGGGAATGGCGATTAAGCCATTCCCCTCAAAATTTTTCAGGAAATATTCAAGAAAAAAAAAATTTTTTTCAGAGAAACAATAGCTGTTAGGCCTTGATGAACCTGTTGTTTGACAGGCTAAGAATAAAGCAAAAACGAAGGTAGAAGCCACTAGGCCTCCACAGATCCATTGTTTCGATGGGTCCAGGAAGAATTATAAGGTGGAGGCTGCTAAGCCTCCATGGATCCATTGTTTTGATGGATCTAGAACATTAGTAAGGTAGAGGCTGCTAAGCCTCCACGGGTCTGTTGTTTTGACAGGCCAAGAAAAGAAGTTAAGGTAGAGGCTGTTAAGCCTCCACAGACCCATTGTTTTGACAGATTGGAGAAGAGTAATGATGTAAAGGCCGTTGGGCCTTTACAGAACCGTTGAGTGATGGTCCTAGAAGAGACGATGATTGAGGCAAATAGGCCTCAGGGGTATGTTCGACGCACCAGAGTGGATGATAGAATGGGGGGGGGGGGGGGGTGATTAACCCCTCCATGTTAAATGAGGCACATATACTTCGATGAAGAGGAGGTGATTAAACCTTCTTTGCTTTACCCTTCTTGGAGGAAGGGCCAGCGACAGTGTCCTCGGTTTCAGACTGAATCACAGCAGGGAAATGACGTTCAGGAAGAGGAGCTGCCTCATTGACTGACCCTGTTGTCACCTTGCCATCACTCTTCATATCCTCGTCCTCATTGGGGATAGGTGGTGGGGTGGGAGGTCGCATGGTGGTGGGTAGATGGCCATAGTTACCATCCATTAATTGAGAGAGAGAAACCTGCATCTTTTGCAGAGGTGCAGGTGGAGCTGGTTCAGGCATGAAGTGCCCTGACCATGATGGAGTGGGAGGTGGCATGGGGTAGTTGCCCACATGCAGTTTCGAGAATTTGAAGGCAGTTGTATTGGCTGCCCTACAGGCCCTTGCCTCGTTGGAGGGATGATGCCTCCACAATGACAGCAGGATGTACTTCATCCCTGCCTCATTGAGAATTTTGGGAGTCCTTTGGACGTACCCATACCTCTTGTTGAAGTCATCTGCGGAAGGATTCCTTCTGCTGTAGGAGAAATAACGGTCACACTATGGAAACCCATTATGGAAATATGCCAGATAAATCACAAAACCCCATACAACAAGTAGATATGAGAAAATAGAAGAACCTGAATTTTAGCGAGATTTTACGAATTATTATGACTACATACGATAAAATGGAAGAAAGAAAATTAGCAAAAATACTTCAAGTTTAGCATCAACGAGACGGAATTCTCAGGGAAATTTATAGCAAATATTAAACCAAGAATTAGGACAATCGACCAAGATTTGACTATGAAAACAGCCAGAGAACCTCCACGGAAACTACTTTCCCATGTCCACACACGTAGCTGAGGATGGAAGTACCATGGAACAAGGATTCCTCAGGAAATAATGCAAAATTCAAAGTCGTGTTTATAATAGGAAATGTAGATGTCCCCCAAACGGACCCAATGAAAGTAATTACAGGGAAAACTATTCATAAACGACGGAGATATGACTAAAACTCCCGGAAAACAAGGACAACGTTTAAAAAGCAAGTGCGAAGAACAACCAGTAACAACCGAGACGAGCTTGATAGCCCATTAGAAAGGAAGGGATCTAATCTTAATCCACCCAAATTTTAATAATAAAAGGATCACACATTAATGAGGTATCCAATAACGGGAATAGCGACATCAAAAGTCTGGGCTCAGGGAAAAGACGATGTTTACGAAGGATCCACAATTAAAACATACAACGAAATTTGCACGGAAAATATAAAAAATACGGAACTATAGTTAAGCAAACTTTCAGCCCAAACGGTCCAGCCATTGTGAAGTTATACCAACGACGGGAATATAGAAATCCACATCATGTTTAATGACACGTGAGGGTGGCAATGCGAAGGGAACCAGCTGTCGGAACCAAGATCTGCACTTCAGCAGATTGCAAAGACCAATTTCCGTCCAAATAAGGAAGAGCCTGGCCAAAACAAAGCATGGAAAGTGCAAAACAACCTTAGATCATGAGGGAAAAATCTGAAATAAATCATGGAAGCCCATATGAAGGATACAAACACCCGCGCATGCCATAAACCCTGAACAATTAAACAGAAACGGTGCCCACATATGAACGACTACGGGAACGACGCATGTGATTACCGAATGTGCATGCAAACTTTTGCTAACTCGACGAATACCAGGAAATAGAACAAAACTTTAGTACCATTGGAAAGGTGGGAATAAATGAAAATTTATGATACCAAGAACGTGAAAAACCATCCAGAAATGAATGAGATACAAGGACATGAAGTTAGAAACCTGAAAAATGCGCGGGAAGACAGCTTCAAGAGGTCCAGAGCCCTAAATAAAATACATAAAAATATGATATCTTCGAGGACGACCTACTATAACAACGAACAATACATATGGAGGATTAGGATGTGATAATACAAAGGGGAAAAAGGGGAGATGAACGAAATCCACAAAAACCACTAAACTACGACGGACCATGGTGGGAATTTTAGGGAATGATATTCTAATGAAGTGGAGAGCTATAATACATTTGTTTGAGTAATTCTTGACTACTAGCAACTTTTTCTTTCAGTTCTAAACCTGAATATTTCAAGTCTCATTTTAACTAAATGTCGCTGGATAAAAATGGAATAAATCAGCTGAAGGTCTCAGCGCAGCTGTACACATAGTAATGCGAAGTTTGAATTCAGAATCACCGAGTCATAGTGAATTTAATGGTAAATATGAGGAATTTGAAATAGGAAACTGCGACAAATGCAGTGCAGTCAAATTCTAATTAACCATTAAAATAGTTTAGGTGAGGAAGGACAATAAGGATTCTAGGCACAGTCTGACTGCAGTAGAGCCGCAGTTCAGCACAGCAGAGCGCAGTAGAACTATAGCATGAAATTTTCATTTTTTATTCAGTTTGAGAAAATACACTGTAAATAAATCCTGTAAATACGAGGTAGAGCATGAAAAAGGAAGGCGACCCAAGGAGTATAAAAGGGAGACCCTTTCTGCGACTTTTTGCCCCCCTCAGAGAAGTAAGAAAATAGAGTATTATTTTTCTCAAGCATTTCTGGTTGTCACTCCAGCGTGAAAAAGTGATATACAGTTAAGATTGCCACTGTAGTAAAAGGCAGCAATTAAGGAGGGAAATATTAAGTAGATATTTCAACAGGAGAGCTGGTTAACACTCCAGATTTCAAAGTGTAAACACAAAACAGTTATTTTGCTACTGTTAAAAAAAGCAATAAAATAAGACAAAAATAAAACAAACTCAAGGGACAGTCCAGACACAATCCAAATCTATTAACTGAGTAGAATCTTTGAAACTTCACCAAGTAGAAGATTTAATTCAAGTTAAATTCCAAATTAAACAACACTACACAGAATTACACCTAGACAAATTAAGAAATTTCAATAAAAGAACAGCTCCACAGGGCTCGATTTATCTGTAAGTCAATTCCCAGAAACTTTTAGACTAACCCATAAAAATAGAATTAGCCAAAACACTTGGATTGGTACTATAATTACAACAAATATTACTAGTACACTTCCCCATCCTAATTAACGAACCAGGGAACAGCTTGGTGGTGGTCTCGTTTGAACCTCCCAACTGACCTTCCTTTGTTCTCTCCTTCAGCATGGAGGTAGGACTGGTATGTTCGGAGGTTCGGAACGAGATACTGCTCTTTACCCAGTCAATCAACAGATTGTGGCAGGTGAGCCAGTTGTGTCCTAGAACCATGGAACAAGTACCATCCAACGAGGTGACATAGAAACTTGTCTGGGTGATGTTACCGGATCCTCCTCCGGTTTCACTTCCATGCTGGTTGTCGTGGATCGTTTATTGAAGCTGTCATATCCATCCCCGGTGTAGGAGAAATAACGGCCACACTATGGAAACCCATTATGGAAATATGCCAGATAAATCACAAAACCTCATACGACAAGTAGATATGAGAACATGGAAGGACCTGAATTTTAACGAATTTTACGAATTTTTACGAATTATTATGACTATACACGATAAATCGAAAGAAAGAAAAATAACAAAAATACTTCAAGCTTACCATCAACGAGACGGAATTCTCGGGGGAATTTATAGCAAATATTAAACCAAGAATTAGGACAATCGACCAAGATTTGACTATAAAAATAATCAGAGAACCTCCATGGAAACTACTTTCCTACGTCCGCACACGTAGCAAGGATGGAAGTACCACGGAACAAAGATTCCTCAGGAACTAATGCAAAAGTCAAAGTCGTGTTTATAATAGGAAATGTAGATGTCACCCAAACGGAACCAATGAGAGTAATTACAGGGGAAACTACCCATAAACGACGGAGATATGACTAAAACTCCTGCAAAACGAGGACAATGTCTAAAAAGCAAGCGCGAAGATTAACTAGTAACGACCGAGACAAGCTTGATAGCCCATTAGAAAGGAAGGGATCTACTCTTAATCCTCCCAAATTTCCATAATAAAAGGATCATGCGTTAATGAGAAATCCAATAACGGGAATAGCGACATCGAAAGTCCGAGCTCAGGGACAAGACGATGATTGCGTAGGATCCATAATTAAAACATACAACGAAATTTACACGGAAATTATGAAAAATAGGAAACTATAGCTATGCAAATTCTCAGCCCAAACGGTCCAGCCGTTGTGAAGTTATACCCATGATGGGAATATAAGAATCCGCATCATGTGTAATGACATGTGAGGGTGGCGATGCGCAGGGAACCGGCCGTCGGAACCGAGATCCGCACTTCAGCAGATCGCGAAGACCAATTTCCGTCCAAATAAGGAAGAGCCCGGTCAAAACAAAGCACGAAAAGTGCAAAACAACCTTAGATCATGAGGGAAAAATCTGAAATAAATCACAGAAGCCCATATGAAAGAAATAAACACCCGCGCATATCATAAATCCCGAACAACTAAATGAAAACGGCTCCCGCATACGAACAACTATGGGAACGACGCACGTGATTACCGAATGTGCGCGCGAAACTTTGCTAACTCAACGAATACAGGGAAATAGGACACAACCTTAGTACCATTGGAAAGGTGGGAATAAATGAAAATTTATGATACCAAGAACGTGAGAAAACATCCAGAAATGAATGAGATACAAGGACATGAAGTTAGAAACCTGAAAACACGCGGGAAGACAGCTTCAAGAGGTCTAGAGCCCTAAATAAAATACATAAAAATATGATATCTTCGAGGACGACCTACTATAACAACGAACAATACATATGGAGGATTAGGATGTGATAATACAAAGGGGAATCAGGGAATATGAACGAAATTCACGAAAACTACTAAACTACGACGGACCATGGCGGGAATTTTAGGGAACGATGTTCTAATGAAGTAGAGAGCTATAACACATTCGTTTGAGTAATTCTTGATTACTAGCAACTTTTTCTTTCAGTTTTAAACCTGAATAATTCACTCATTTATCATTTCAGTCTCATTTTAACCAAACGCCACCAAACAAAATTGGAATAAATCAGCTGAAGGTCTCAGCACAGTCGCACGCATAGTAATGCGAGGTTTGAATTCAGTATGACCGAGTCATAGCGAACTTAATGGGAAATATGGGGAATTTGAAATAGGGAACTGCAGCAAATGCGGTGCAGACAAATTCTAATTAACCATTAAAATAGCTTAGGCGAGGAAGGACAATAAGGATTCCAGGCGCAGTCTGACCGCAGTAGAGCCGCAGTTCAGCGCAGCAAAGCGCAGTGGAACTATAGCGTGAAAAATTTCACTTTTTATTCAGTTTGAGAAAAATACACTGTAAATAAATCCTGTAAATAGAAGGTAGAGCGTGAAAAAGGAAGGCGACCCAAGGAGTATAAAAGGGAGACCCTTTCTGCGACTTTTCGCCCCCCTTAGAGAAGTAAGAAAATAGAGTATTATTTTTCTCAAGCATTTCTGGTTGTCACTCCAGTGCGAAAAAGTGATATACAGTTAAGATTGCCACTGTAGTAAAAGGCAGCAATTAAGGAGAGAAATATTAAGTAGATATTTCAACAAGAGAGCTGGTT